TTCATGTAAAACTAATTAGATATGTTTTAATATGCTTTGATATTTGTTGTGTACATGTCTGAAAATTACTTTAAACTCTAGTTATTCGAATTTATGTATAAACTATTTTGCATATGATAAATTCGCACCCTGATCTCTAATCGTTCTCCTTAAATCTATTTAATTGAAATATTTTGTTATTATTACTAAAATTAGGTGGAAAAAATAATCAAAACAGCCAAGAGCTATTTTCCACCTAATTGCTTTATACTTGTACTGTTAATATAATCATCAATTTTGTGATTGTAAACTCTATCTGTATACATATACATTTATTTTAGCAATAAACTTTATCTTATCTTATCTTATCTTAATGTTTTTGAACGCCATCTTCTAATTTTCCCCACGTTAGAAGGTTGGAGTACGATTTATCTAGATCCCAAAGCTTAAGATATTGTTTTGAAAACCAAGTATTGGAAACCAGGTTCCACAAACAGGCAAAAATTGCTGTTTATCTTACAATAGTTGGATGCAGTCCTACGCTGCAAGTATATTTATTTAGTAAAAAATGCTCTAATAAAAATTACGCGAAAGCAAGAAAGAATTTTTTCAATAATGAATACAAAGTACAGGGTACAGAAAGAGTACAGGGTACAGAGTACAGAGTACAGACAGAGTACATGGTACAGACAGAGTACAGGGTACAGACAGAGTACAGGGTACAGACAGAGTACAGGGTACAGAGTAAAGGGTACAGAGTAAAGGGTACGGAGTACAGGGTACAGAATACAGGGTACAGAGTAAAGGGTACAGAGTACAGGGTACAGAGTACAGGGTACAGAGTACAGGGTACAGAGTACAGGGTACAAAGTACAGGGTACAGAGTACAGGGTACAGAGTACAATGTATAGAGTACAGGGTACAAAGTACAATGTCAGTACAGGATACAGAGTACAGGGTACAGAGTACAGGAAGCAGAGTACAGGGTACAGAGTACAAGGTATACAGATTACAAGGTACAGAGTACAGGGTATTGAGTAGGGTACAGAGCGCAGAGTGCTGAGTACAGGGTTGTAGAGTACAATTGAGTACAATTTTGAGTACAATTGTATAGAGCCAAGGGTATACATACAGTTAAACCCTATAATAAGCCATACATCGAAAGAATTCATCAAATATCGTATTCTTTACTTTCTGATAATGGAATGTTGACTATATTAATCAAATACTTATATATATGATTATATGATTATGATTATATGGAGCTCTTTAGAACTGTTCCCGCATATTCATCGCAATTTATTCATTTTCGCAAATACTGAGATTTACGTAAAATAGTATAAACCCCATTGAAAACTTGTCAAGACGACATTTGATAAATTCTTTCGATGTATGACTCATTTAGGGTTTAACTGTAGTACATCTGGATACAGAGTTATACAGGTTTCAAGAGCTTACAGGGAATGAGATGTACAATAGATGATCGCGCGTGAATCTATTATGATGATATAATGCCCATTTGCAAAAGTTTTTTTAAAAAATTTATTTGAAAATTAATCATTTCCATTTTTTTCATGTGCCTATTCTTCAAATGTCGACTGTGAGGATAGCTAACTTTAGTGCTGTTAAAGGTGCTATTTCATTTGAACTACTGCCGTTTGAACTATGGCTCATTTGAACTATTGTTCATTTCAACTACTGCACGTGGGACCACGTGAGTAGTTGAAATGAACAATAGTTCAAACGAGTAAATATATTACTCATTTGAACTATTTTTTAGTTCATTAGAACTATTTTCATTTGAACTATTAAAATATTATTAATGAAATAAACCAAAAATAGTTCAAATGAACATAAAAATAGTTCAAATGAAAAA